CTTGCCCACTTTGGAGACATCATTCGGACCCTCCTCACACCCCTTGCAAGGGTCTCTGTGTCGGGGAAGCTCACGTCTGGGAGTGGGGGAAAGTAAGAGCTGTCTGGGAGGCTGGGTAGGCAGTCAGGGGTGTGGAGCCTCCTCAGGGGTTGGGGGCTGGGGAGGGAGGAAGATGGTGGTATGGGGGGGACAGGAGACCCACAGGGAGCAGAGGTAGGTAGACAGTGAAGAGGTGGGAGATGGCACGGAGGGACCTTCTAGGGATGGAGCCCGGCCTTGGGTGGCAGGACTGCTCAGAGTCCACTAGGATCTCTGGCCCTCGGTCACCCCCAGCTGGCAGCTCCAGTGCCTGCTGGTGGAAAACCCGCCACGTTCCTGCCCAACCCTTGCAGGCTCCTGCAGCGGAACTGGGGCTCCATCTGCTCAGAGTTTAATCGCCAGCCCTCTCTGGCCCTGGTGAGGCTCGGCAATGGGCATACGTCTGTGGAAGGGCTTCATGAACCAAAAAGCTTGGAATCTGTGTAAGAAAGGTGCTTGATTGTTTAAATAACACAGTTTTGGAAAAGCAGTTTCTCCTTCAATCCTCCCAACAACATGAGGTGTAAACCGAGGCCCGAGGTGGAGAAGGTTGAGCTGGGAGGAAGGTGCTCTGTGACACACTCAGGCCCTGGAGCCCCTGACGAGCAGACGGGCTTGTGCACACGGGATCTGACGGCTGCCGCAGGGGAGCCGGCCCACGCCACTCTGCCCCACACACCACACGGGCCAGCTCACTGCGCCTGGACTCTCAGTGCTCCAGCCCAGCACTGTGCCCCGGCGCATCTGCAGCGACGGAGTCGTTCTAGACGGCACTGCAGCGACAGTAGCCACTGACCACGTGTGGCTGGTGAGCAGCGCACTGTGGCTAGTGCACCTGAGGACCTGGACTAATTTTACTGAACCTTACACTCAATTTACATAGCCGCCTGTGGTTGGACCTCACGCAGTAAAGGCTCAAGTTCCCCCAGGCTAGTCTCTGAGCTGAAGGCAACTCCAGTGGAAAGCCCAGGTTTTCCCTGGGTCTTGATGAGCTGATTCTGAAACTCATGTGAGAAGAACACCTACCAAGAACAGCCAAGACAATTTTTAAAAATAACAAAACAGGGGTTTTGCCCTAATAAGAAAATATACATAACTACAAGTCTGACGCTGGCGGAAGGATAATAACACAGATCTCTAACCCTTCGCGGGGGCTGCATGGGACCTTTGCTCCCTCCCTGAAACATCCCGGGCCTCTAAAGCAGGGCCCGCCATACAGCAGGTCTCAACAAACATCTGCTGAATGAATGACAGGATCCAGGCACAGACCCACGTTCGTGCAGGAATTGGGTAGAATTTCAAGTCGATAGAGAGAGGGCGGACTGTCCAATAATCTGTTTGGAGACAACTGGCTAACCCCCATAGAACAATAAAAGCTAGCCCCTCACTCACCTTGCACCATTCCCCAAAACAAACTCCAGGTTAAAGTCCCGAAGGGTATGAAACAGAACTATACAAGTACTGAACAAAGTATTTCAAAACCATACTAGGACCTCGGGCAGATCCCTTTAAAACATAACATGAAAAACTAAAGTAATAAAAAAAGAAAACACTGATGACTTGACTAATTAACATTAAAATCTTGTATAGCATGGTGACTACAGTTAGTAACACTGTACTGTATCATATATTCAAAAGTTGCTAAGACAGTAAATCTTAAAAGTTCTCATCACAAGAAAAAAAATTTGTAGCTATGTGTGGTGACTGATGTTGACTAGACTTATTGTGGTGATCATCTTGCGGTGATCATTTTGCACGACATACAAACATTGAATCATTATGTTGTACACCTGAAATTAATACGTTATATGTCAATTAGCAAATCTCAATTAAATGCAAAATAAATTAAAAACTTCTGGTAGAGGAGAGAGCATACACAAAGTTAAAAGGTGTATAATTAAAAATCATTGAGTTCTACAGTTTATAAGGATGAATTTTATGGTATGTGAATTATACCTCAAAAGAAAAAGTCAAAAAGAAGAAAAAGACAAGTGACGGACAGGAAGAAGACGTTTGTAATCACAAAGGACTAGTATCCACAACATACAAAGAACAAATCAAAAGGACTACCTGACAGAAAAGTGCGCAAAGAATACAAACAGGCATTTTATGGAAGAGAAAACCCAAATGGCCAAAAGACACACAGAGATGCTCTGTCTTAGAAGCAAGTGGGAAGAGGCAAATTAAAACCAGCGAGAGGCCACACCTCTACCTGCGACAGGGTGCGGGGTGACACTGAATGCTGAGTGTGGGGAGACGGGCTCTCAGGTCCAGCTGCAGAGAGGAGACGGGTAGAGCCCGCTTCTAAAGAGCAAACTGGCAGTTCCTACTTCGGTTAAAAGCACAGCGACCGAAGCCCGGCAATCCCACCTCTCGCTCTCTTTCCTGGAGACCCTCTTGGGAGCGTGTGGGAGGAGCAGATACACGCTCACTGTCCTATCGTTGGTAGTCATGAAAGGGTGGAAGCAACTGGCCAGATAAATAATACGGATAGCCACACATGGACCACTATGCAGCAGCAAGCAGAAACGAGGTGGTCCATGTGCACCGACGGGAAGACCCACAGAAACCGCACGGCGACTTCACAGTAAGACAACATGCACAACCCCTGCCCAGATAACGCCAGCAGGGGTCACAGAAACCGTGCTGATACTGGACAGAGCTTACCGTGTGCCAGGCACTGCTCCAGGCACTTCACACACTCACTCATTTCCAACTCCCCGCGCCAGACAGACACCACTGGCCTCGGCCCCACTGCACAGATGAGGCCCTACTGCAGGAGGCTGCACTGCTCAAGGACATACACAGGGGACGTGAAGCGCCAGGGTCTGAACCCGGGCTGCTGGCCCCAGAGCTGTGTTCTGAACCACGGCTGTCTGTAGAGCCTAGGAACACACACACATGCACAGGACAAAAATCTGGGAGGAGAGACTCCGGAATGAGAGGCATCAAAGGAGATGTCATCCTAAGCGGAAGGCCTTCATTTTCTACCGGGAGTGTATTATGCACATAATTAAAAACTAACAGCTAGGCGGCCAGCCCCGTGGCCGAGTGGTTAAGTTCCTGCACTCCGCCTTCGACGGCCCAGGGTTTCACCAGTTCAGATCCTGCGCGCAGACATGGCACCGCTCATCAGGCTGCGTTGAGGCGGTGTCCCACATGCCACAACTAGAAGGACCCATAGCTAAAAATATACAACTGTGTACTGGGGGGATTGGGGGAGAAAAAGCCGGGGGCGTGGGGTGTGGGGAAGAAGACTGGCAACAGTTGTTAGCTCAGGTGCCAATCTTTACAAAACAAAACAAAACTAACAGCTAGAAAGAACCTACAGAGACTCAAGCTGGCTGGTTGGGGGAGACTGTTTGTTCTGGCCTCCACTTGTCCACTCAGCTGGGACTCCACCAGGATGCAATGCCTGTCAGAGACGAGGTGAGTTAGGCATGGGGACACCCCCAGGTTACCCTGGCCTCCCCCAGCAGTGTACAGGCCTGGGTTTAGGGTGACCTGGGAGCGGCTGTGCCCAGGAGCAGGCAGGGGCAGGCTTGTGGGACAGAGCTCAGGATGGGCTCAGCAGCACGTGACCCTCCCTGTCCAGTCTGCTGTTCTGGCCACAGCTCGCGTGGCAGTGGGACTGGTTGGTCCTGATGTGCAGAAGGCCCCGGGCAGGTGGAAGCCTCAGGAGAGAGCACTCCTGGCAGATGTGAGGTGTCCAAGACTCTTAGTTCTTAGCTGAGTGAGGACCAATGACCCACAGCCCCCTGGCCACCCCTCGTGTGAATGTGCTGCACCCTACACCCACCTCCTGAGACAGGCCTCTCTGACTCCCTCAGCCACCACTTCCATTGTACCAGGATGGCTCAGAAATGCCCCATATCTCCCCCAGTCTAGAAGAGGAAGCAGGCAGCAGGGAAGTACAGCAGATGTGTGTCAGGAACCACCGGGCAGGCTGGCCACATCCCCTCTACGTCCCCAACCCTGGAGGAGTCAGCACCAGGCCAGCGTCTGGTGACCCCAAATCCTGGAAGCCCCGTGAACGGAAATGATGAGAAATCTGAGGTTTAATAAGCAGAGTCTGCCAACGCCCCTCCAAGGGAGTGCTCAGCCCTCCTCCCTTCCGCTTGCTATTTTTGGCCACACCAAGAATAGTCTGCTTTAAATACCGGTCTCGCTCCCCAGGCCAGCTCTCGGGACTGTCCCCACAGAACCTTTCCAGAAGCCCCGGTGCAGTGGCCACTCAACGGACCCAATTCAAGCAGCTCCCAGAGGGCCTGGCTGAGACTTCTGCTGGCAGCAGGTCCATCTGTGTCCCCCTGCCCGGCCACGCGGGAGCCAGCCTGCAGCTGTCCCTGGGGATCTCACTCAGATGCGGGCCCGTCAGCCCCTTGCTCAGACCTTCCTGCCCCCCATCGCGCAGGGAACAAAATCCAAACCCCGAGCCTGACGTTCACAGCTGGCTGCGGCATGGCCCAACCACCGAGTCAGGCTTCACACAACACAGGCCCTGAGCACTGACTGTGTGCTGGCTACTGTTCTAGGTGCCAACAGGGCCCCAAACCTGGGGAGCCGACACCCCTCTCTCATGTTGCTTTATCACAGAGAAGCTCCTCATTCTGTCACTGTTCAGCCTGTGAGCATCTGCTCTGCCCAAGATAGCACCCTTGGGAGAGGGCCAGCCCTGGGGACTGGGGGTCACGTCCTCAGCTCAGTGGGCTCCAATCTCCCCTATTAACAACACTGGCTGCGCCAGGCATTGCTGTAGGTACATTTGCGCAGTGTCCTACCCTTACACACACTCACTTTTAACCTCCCAACATGTGCAAAGGCACCGTGGCATGAGAGGAAGGCCCCAGCTGCGGTCCTGTGGGTGTCACTGCCCACCCTACTCTTCCCTGCAGGGCCAGTGGCTGGAGGCAGGCACTCACTTGTTGAAGAGGTTGAGGCCAATGCGATAGTGCCTCTTGCGAATTACATCGTTGCTGAAGGCGGGGGAGTCCCAGCTGTTGCGGGTCTCCTTGTGGTAGGTCTGCTTGCTGAGCGTCTGCTCCCGCAGGCTGTCACGGGACGACGACTCAGAGCTGCAGTTGATGGTGTCGTTGGAGTTGGACGTGCTGTTGATACTGTCATTGTCCCCATCTGAGTAGTCCGACTCGGACTTGCTCTGCCTGTTGGCTGAGCCATTGATGGCCAGATGGCTGTCGAGGGGCCTGGGGGGCCGGGGCCGCAACTCCGGCTCCTCCCGGGGCAGGCCCTTGGGGGGGCCACCGTGGGAGCCGTGCTTGGGACTGCCCTGCTGCCCGCCGAGGCTGCGCTCATAGGCGCTCTGCCTCTTGAGCGAGCCGCGGTCCGAGCGGTCACTGAGGTCCACGGAGCTGTCGCTGGGCGGCTCGATAGTGAGCAGTGGGAGGTGTTCCACCCGCAGCCGCTGCTCCTGCCGCTCAAGCGATGGTGTGCTCCGGCAGCTCGTGTCCGTGTCCCCCTTGTCGTCCTTGTGAGCCAGGGCCCAGTAGTCCTGGGTGGCGCCCCCAGCCCGCAGCCGCAGGTCCGACTCGGCACTGGATGGGCGGTGCCCTGCCTGTGAGAGGGGCAGTGGTGGCGACAGCTCCTCCTCGTCGATGTACAGGGTGACATCGCTGTACGAGGCCGTCATCTCGTCCAGTTTGCGGTGGTCCACGCCATGCAGGGCCGGCTTGGGCTCGGCGTCCCGGGCCCGCCCCGCATCGGGGGCTGGCGCCTCCTCGGCGTGCAGGCTGCGGCAGTTGAGCGCGTCGTCGATGGACTCGGCCAGCGATTTCACCTGCCGGGAGAAGGCGTCCTCCAGCTCTGTGATGGCATCCGCAAAGTCGCTGGAGGGGGCTGGAGACTTGAGAGCGGGTGGCTCACCAAGATCGCCACACTCAGATGGCACCAGGGCCCCCAACTGAGAGCCATCACCTGTCACGGAGACCTGCTTCCCCTCGAAGTAGGAGCTGTGCAGCTTCTCAGGCCCCTCGAAGGAGAACTGCATCCTCATGTTGGACAGCACGATCCGGCGCGACATGCGGTTCTCCGACATGGAGCTGCGCAGGCGCTCGAAGTTCTTGTTCATCTGGTACTGGCGGAAGGCCGTCTGGATGGTGCGGGCCGCATGGCGGGTCACGAGGCGTCCCCCATACTTCCGTTCTAGCATCTCCACCTGGAGGGGGAAGGAGAAGAGAGTGAAGGCAGCCCTGTGTGCTGGCGTGGTGCAACACTGACCTTTCACTCCCGCGCCCCAGCTCTGTGGTGGCATGACCTGGGAAGCCCTCAGTGTGTCCTAGAGTTGGTTAAAACCACCGGTGGGGCACGCTGGTGGGCTGTGCAAGGTTGCGCAACCTATGGGTTCCAAGGTCAAACAAGATGGAGAAAGACCGTGTTAAGTTAAAGCAAGTGTGTTCCCTGCAGGCTCTTCAGAACCTGTAAAGGTGGTGGTTTCCCAAACTCCTCTGGCCAGAGGCCTTTGGCCCTGGAGCCACCTGTGGCAGGCAGTTGAACGAAACTTCGGAGGTGCTGGAAGGAGTGAAGGCAGCCCCTCCAGAGACAAGGAGCCTGAGGCAAGCGCAGGTTAAGAGACCTGCCAGAGAGCTCAGCAAGGTCTGGGGTGCTGAGCACCGCCGCGGCTCAGCCTGGTTTCCTTTCCCCGGCATCGGCAGCGCACTCCTGGCACCTGGGGAGTCACTGAGCTCAGGGAGGCCTAGAGATCTGCCCATGCGTGGAGCCAGCCTCGAGGCCAGCTGCCTGGGCTCCAGTCCTGGCCCTGCCCCTCGCCAGCTGTGTGACTCTGAGTAAGCCTGGGAACCAGCAGGTCCTCAGCTTCCTCGTCTGTAAAATGGGGATGGTACTCACACCCCCTCACAGGACTGAGGTGAGCACTTGGTGAGACGGACGCAGGTGCTCAGCACACGCCAAGTTCAGGGACGGCAAGGGCTAGAAGGCCCTCAACTGCATTCCTGGAAGGTGTTTACAGTTTATGGGGCCCCCAAGTCCCCTCACTGTAGAGAGGGGGAAACTGAGGCCTGGAGAAGAGACCCAACACACACCGTGAGCGAGCTCTCTGGCCCCTCAGGTCCTGCTGCCCTTCTCTGGGAGTTTGGAGGGGGCAGGGCTGCAGGCAGGCAGGAGGGACGGGGTGAGCCCACAGGCCCTTGGGCCCATGTCTTCCCAGCATGACATGTGGACCTCCTGAAGTCCTGCGGCTCAAGTGCCCCCGTGATCAAGAACAGCCCCGAGGGCCGCCCCCATGCCTTGCTCCTGAGTGAAAACAAACACAGGCCTGCAGCTGGAGTCAAAGAAAACCCCGGAGACGGAACCGCCCAGCCAAGCTCTCGGGGACAGGGCAGAGTGGGCACCGGCTGCAGAGCCACGGGAGGCCTCAGGTCCTCAGGAGGGAGGCCCCCTGCACCAGCGGGGCAGAGTGCCACAGCCTGCTGGTCCAGGCCCCCCGCTCACGCGGTCATCATTCCAAAGCTGGCAGCGAAAAGAAAGGTCCCTGCTCTCAAGAAGCAGTCCGTCTAGGAGAACACACTGACGCACACATGTAACTGAAACAGAGCCAAACAGACGTGAGCAAACCCAGGCTGTGGCCGAGTTGGGGGGAGGGCTGCTCAGAGCCTCTTGGGCCGGCAGGCAAATCGGAGCCGCACACAGCAAATGCCAGTCTTGGCCCTCGCATGCCTGGCGGCGGCCTGTGCCCCTCTCTGGGAAGCGAGAGTGTGCCTGGCTAGTGAGGGCACCCATCTCAGGGACGGGCCAGCTCTCGGGGGCCCACAGGGGAGGGCACGGCAGGCGGGCAGAGCAGCTCCCTTCGAAGGGGAGTGGGCGGGGGTGGGTGTGGATCAAACTGACTTTCCACAGCCGGTCAGGCCCAGAGTCAGCCAGGGCGGGCCTGCTTCTCCTCTCGCCGGAAGTCACTGACCGCCATCCAGAGATGACCTCACTTCTACATCTGTAAGCAAAGTTTCTGTGTTTTCGGGATCTGAGTGGAGCTCTGAAAGCCCATGGGGCCAATGAAGGGCCCAAGGCTGAGCTCTGGGAAACCCTCTGCCCCTGTGCTCCCAGGCCTGTGGTCCTGGGCCCCATGTCAGCCCTGCGGGAGAGGTCACGGTGCCAAGGCCACCAGCCCACTCCAGGGCCCCTCCTCTCCTGCTGCCTTTGGACCTCGAAAACTAGGCAGTGACCCTGTTTGCCTGAGACCGTCTCCCCATATGTGGGGGCAAGGAAGGGGGAGAAGAGGGAGTTCCGGAAGGCAGAAACGGGCCACATTTCGTCATCAAAGCCCCTCTCAGTCCCTCCTACCTGGCCTCCCCCAGAGGACATGCTGACCCTGGCCTGGTCTTACTCATCGCAGACTCAGCGTGGTCAGTCCCCCTTCAAGGCCCAGTCTGAAAGTTTACCGGGGTGCAGGGCGGGAACCCGATCAGCAAGCGCTGCCTGCTGTGCGTGCCATGGGCTGTGCAGCCTCCCCTGATGCTCCCACTGACGCCTGCCTGCCAAGGGGCTCGAGGGGGAGGGCAGAAGCTCAGAGAGGTGACGGCGAGGAGCCGACCCGAGCCAGGCCTCTCCCATGAAGCCCTCACGCTCCCTTGAAAGGGAGCCTTTCAACAGCAGGGATGTGGAACTGAGGGGACACCCTTCCAAAAGCAGAACCGCCCCCTCTGGCCGACTCAGGTCTCCCACTCCTATGGACAGGAAACCACTAGACGGTGCAGAGGCCCAGGGGCCAGAGGAAAATACATGACTTCCCATCGGGCTCCTTTCACTAAAATGGGGTGTTGTATTACTCAGGCTTTAACCCCTTGTGGAATTGGGCACCCTACTTTCATCTGACAATTCCCATATAATCTGTCCTATTCCTACTTTTGCCTTGATTGCCAGGAAGCTCAGTGCAGAGTTGAATGCTCAGTGGCTCTCAACATCACCTCTTCCCCTCTCACCTGTTTCCTACCTCTTCTCTGCCATTCTTTCCCCTAAGCTTGTTCTGCCTCAGGGCCTTTGCAACTGCTGTTACCGCTTCCAGGAAAGGCCCTTCCTCAAATACCCAGTTCTTTTTTTTTTTATTTTGAGGAAGATTAGCCCCGAGCTAACTACTGCCAATCCTACTCTTTTTGCTGAGGAAGACTGGTCCTGAGCTAACCTCCATGCCCATCTTCCTCTACTTTATACGTGGAATGCCTACCACAGCATGGCTTTTGCCAAGCGGTGCCATGTCTGCACCCAGGATCTGAACTGGTGAACCCCGGGCTGCCAAGAAGCAGAACGTGCAAACTTGACCATTGTGCTACCGGGCTGGCCCCTCAAATACCCAGTCCTAATGCTACCTTGGAAAGGTCTTCTCCACCACCCTTATCCAATGCTGTTATCTCCCACAGTCACTCAATTTCTTTCCCCTATTTCCTAAGCTCTAGAGTTTGTATCACTTTCTGGAATTAATTGTGTCTTTAATGCTAACCTGTCCGTGGCCCATCTCCTGGACCACAGTGTCAGCTCAAGAGCTGGGGCCTCCCCTTGTCCACCACTGAGTCCCCCGGACCCAGCGCAGCGTCTGGCGCACGGTGGGCATCCCACTGATCAGCCGGAACAAAGATGCACGGCGGCAGCCGCATCAAGGCTGTGCGAAGCACACGACGCTCTGAGGTCTCTCAAGTCTTGACCTTTCTCACCTCTATCTTAGCGGTCCTGCCGCAGATGCCTTTTACTATAAACTGTTTCTGATCTACTTTGGTTCCGGTGTAACTGATAAACGGAACCACAGAGGCTGTCCTCCCTGCCGTGGGCCTGGCCATGGGGACAAAGTGCCACAAGGGGCAGAGGGCTATTTGCTCCCACAGCCTGACAAGGAGCCACTTGTCGGCCCCCCCTGTCAGCCCCAGCTCACAGGCAGAAGGATGAGGAGAGATCAGGGCTGTCGAAAGTTGCGGGGCTGCACCGAGCGCAGAGAGAGGAGGGGGGAAGACCCCCCCCAGGCAGTACCTGCACTGCTCCCCAAACAAGTTGGGGGCCACACAGCCCCAGACCTCTGCTCCACAAAAGACAAACAAGAAGACTGGGGAGCAGACAGAGGGCAGCTGGGCAACGGGCAGATGTGGGCAAGAGGGAAGGCAAGGCAGCTCCTGCCGCCTGGTGTTGGAAGGCTGCTGGAAGGGGCCCTGGCGCCAGGCCAGGGCAGAGGTGGCCACCTGGGACCCAGAGGAGACTGCCCAGAGCTCGGGGCAAAGTTGGACAGACAAGCCTAGCCTGGTGTACTCGCACAGCTGCTTCTTGGCAGCCTAGGGGCCCTCCTGAAGCCGGAAACCTTCCCTGAGAGTCTCACACAAGAATTCTTATTAAAGTGCCTCCTATGTGTCTGCATGCTGAGGGGCTGGAAGGGAGAACCCTGTCCCCCACCCACCACCCAGCCTGGAAGGCCTCTCCTCCCTCCCCTCAACCCCGAGAGCCTGCCTCCAGTCCTTCATGGAGCCGGCCAGGCCATGCATCCTCCTTGCTCTGCACACAGGTGCCAACCCCAAGGTGGGCTGGGCCAAGGCCCCTGGGGGAGGAAGTGCAGCTTTCAATGAGGTGATTTCCCACGAGAACACAGAATTGTAAACCACAGGGGATATCACACGCAACCTCACCTCGTGCCGGCTGTGAACGGGCTTGGTGTTCTTTCCAGAGTGTGTGATATTTATGCTGTAAACTGACCTCCCTCCTTCTCCCCAGGGGCTTCTCTCACAGACTCCCATAGGTTTGGGCCTCCTGGGACCTCAGAATCTCGGTGGCTAGCCATGTAACCTGTGTTACGTGATCCCAGCACGAGGTCTGTGAACTGGGTAGAGGCAGAGGCCTGACAAGGGGAAGGTGGACAGTCCAGTTCCTTCTCTCGTAACCCTCCAGGTGCTGGGAGGAGCAAGAGGAGAGTCCGGGCTGAGGCAAGGCCAGTTCTTGGTGAGCGTGCCCCTAACTCGTACTGCCCTCTGCGGGGGAGCGCAGGACAGTGGGTGCAAGAGCTGAGGGACTTCTGCACTCTGGCACCAGCGCATATTCCCAGAGGACACGTGGCAGACAGAGCAGCCTGCTGCCCGGCCCCACCTACCTGCTTGTCCTGCAGGTCCGAGGAGAGCTCATAGCTCTCAGAGAGCGACCGCGAGCGCTTGATGGCCTCCTCCTCAGCCTGCTTGCGTAGGATGGAGGTCGAGTGCTGCAGCTTGGGCCTCCGCGCGCGCTGCCCTGGCGGCCCCGAGTACAGCCCATAGGCTCCTGCCGACGTGTGCTCGTAGTGGTCTGGGCTCAGGCTGGCACCGGGCGCTAAGGGGCCCTGGTGGTAGGCCGACGGGCTGTCCAGTGACGTGCCAGTCTCACTGCCGGGCGCCTCGCCCTCGACGCTGCAGAGGAGAGAGAAGCAAGAGGCTCCTGTAAGCGGCAAACCAGAACCCAGGGGCTGACAGGGGGCCACGAGTGGGAGGGGGGCCAAAGTCTCACTACATTCCAGGGGTACCCCACTACACCCGGTCTCCTTGCTTCCCCCTCTCCTTCCTACAACCGATCCCCAAATGCAGCCAGAGGGACCCTGCAAAAACCCTCTGCTCTGTGCCTACCTAAGCCTTGCCTCCTCAGGTTTCAATGTCTGTGTAAAACTCACCACCTTCTAACATCCAACACACTTCACTGTGGAGTTGGTTTACTGTCCGTCCCCTACATGAGAACGTCAGCTCCATGAGGACAGAGGTTTGGCCAAGTGGTCTGAGGTTTGGCCTATCAGTCCGAGGTTTGGCGTAGCGGTCCACTGAGGACCCAAGTGCCCAGAGCAGGGCCTGCCATACAGCAGGTGCTCAGTAAATATGTCCTGAACCACCAGATGGGTCCTGGCACTGTCTCCTTCTCACTCCATCACCTGGATTAGGTAAACCACTGATTGTTGTACTTTTTTTTAAACAGTAATTAACAAAGTGCCTCTTTATTGCACACCCACTCGGGGGGCAGGCCTGGTGGTGTCTATGAGGGCTGAGTCCCATGCCCCAACTCATGAACGGAAGCCCTCACCCTCAGCACCTCAGAGTGGGACTGTATTTGGAGACAGGGTCTGTACAGAGCTAGTTAAGTTAAAATGGGTCATGCGGGTGGACCCTACCCCAATATGATGGGTGTCCTTATGAGAAGAGATCAGGACACAGACACACACAGAGGGAAGACCACATGAGGACACAGGGAGAAGGCGGCATCTGGACACCAAGGAGAGAGGCCTCAGAGAAACCAACCCTGCCGACACCTTGATCTCGGACATGCAGCCTCCGGAACTGTGAGGAGTAAACGTCTGCTGTGTGAGCCGCCAGCCTGCGCACTTGTTACGGAAGGCTTGGAAACAAACACAGTGTTGTACATAGATTTTCTCTAAATCTTAAAAACCAGTCTGCAAAGGAGGAATTAACTCCCCTTTTCCAGGTGAGGAACGCAAAGCCCATGAAAGTACAGGGCTTGCCTGGGGTTGCGAGCAGGTAAGCTGGGATGAAAGCCCAAGTTGGTGGGACTCCCAAGACCAGGTGTTCCCCTCAGCCTCACTGCCCCTTGTCCCCAGGATGCATACACATCCCCCTCAACGTTCCAAGTGCCCAGCACAGCGGGACCAACTCGGGGGATAGATAGGGACTGGCTGACTTACTTGTCCCAAACTCAAGGACTTCCGAGACGGACATCGGTCCCCCCTGCAGACTGCTTTTCAGTAGAGGGCAAGGAGAGGAGAAGAGATGTACGCAACGACTTTCTAACACAGCTTCTGGTAGCTTCTCCAGTCTTGCCCTGCCATTCCCCTGTCCCTGGAGAATATCATTCAAACTTTAAAGGTCCCCCGATCCCCAGGGCCAGGGCAGGGGTCTCTCTGGAAGTGGTCCAGCAGAGAGAAGGTAACAAGAACCCACCCAGGCTGCAGGCCTTCCTCAATCGTCCTATCTTCAGACTAACGTGAATACCTCGCATTTAACAGCCAACTGGTACCCCCTGCTCAGCTCTGCTTCCACTGTCCCCACTTGTCACAGGGCCTGGCAGGGCCTGGCTGCCAAATGCAGAATGTGAGGCTGTTTACTGACTCCAGGGGAGGGACTCAGAGTGGGGCAGGGAAGGAGGCCCTGGAGCAGAGAGGCCGGGACAAGCCGCAGACCCAGGCGGCAGGAAGCGGCCTGCCCTTTGAGTCCAGCTCTGCCCTGAGCCAGGAAGGCCGGGATGCAAATCCCTGCACTTGCTTTCCAACTTGCGGCTTAAGAATAGGACAGGACTTCCGCTCCACCAACTGGCTCTGGCCTCCAGGGACACACAGTGGGTCTCCTGTGACAAAGGACATCCCAGCCTGCTCCCCAGAGGCTAAAGTGCGACACTGTCCTTCCTTGGGCAAGAGCCCTGGGCTAGGAATTAAGACGCCTGGGTGCTTTGCCTTGATCTGGCTGTGAGTCAGCATGGTGACCCCTCATTGCAAGGCCTGTCTCCCCAACTGTGATACAAATGGGCTGGACCAGACGTTCTCGAGGCGTCAGGCAAACAGCACCCTTCAAGGTTCTCCCGACACCAGCAGCTTCCTCTGGGCCTCGTGGGCCGGTGCAGGAGAGGCACAGTGATTAGCAGAGCTTAAAACACTCCATTCTTTCAATAAAGCTTCAAACAGTGTCTCCCAATAAATCCTTGGCATCTCAATCGATAGTTTCAGGAAGCGTGAAGGAGTCCCAAATGGGACCTGCGGGCAATCGACGACTGGCTTAGAGACGAGCAACCAGGCTCCCAAGAGAAGCCTGTCCACACCGCGGGGACCGGGAGCCCAGGCCCCTCCCTCCGCCTCCCTCCCCCGTGAGCACTTCCCAGGGAGGCCCATCCATGCTACCCCCCAACCCCCACCCCAAACTCTGCGTTCAGGGCCCAATCTGTTTTTCTGAGCAGGAGGCAGACAGGAAACAAAACCTTGTCCTTGGAGCGAGGCCGCGGAGCTCTGCTCACAAGGATTTTCAACAGTCTCGCAACCCCGAGTCTGCAGAAACACCTGGACGCTGAGGGTGATTCCAGGAAGCCCTGGGCGAGAAGCCCCTCCGGGCCTGGGGCCGCATCTGAGCTGCCTGCTGCAGCTCTGCCAGGAGTGGTGGCGGGGCCCCTCACCGTGCTGCCCAGCCCCGCCCCGGATGATGGAGCAGTGCCCACCTTTCACGTCGGCCAGGGGGTCAACCCTTTGCCAGGCCCTTCCTTGTCCGGCCTCACAAGAGCCGTGAGCAGGCAAACAGGGCATCCATTCTCCCTGACTGCGGGCAGGGCAGGGTGGGCCTGGGCCTGCCTATGAATTCGAGAGGCTGTCATCATGCCCAGTCGACTGCTGTTTGGGGCAGAGGGAGCTGAGAAAAGAGAAGCAGGGGCTGGTCCCTAAACTCAAGGGCTGCACCCTGCTCTGTAGCGGAGACGGGTGTCTGGCTGCCTGGATGGTTGGGCTCGTGGGCAATGGGTGTCACCAGCGTGGAAGGAGGCTTTGCCCAAGGGAGGGGCGCTCTTTGGGATATGACAGGGAGAGAGGTGGCTGGGGGAAGGCAAGAACTTTATGGAGCTGTGCCAGCCCAGCGTTCTGCTCTGGGCACTAGTTGGCTCCTGCCTGCCTTGGGCCAGCAGGTTCCAGAACAGATGAGTAAGGGAAAAGCAGTCAAGAAAGGAGTCTTGGGAGAGAGGGCCGGGCCTCCCTCAACAAGGGAAGGGGTCTGACAGCCACCCGGCCTTTCCCTTCACCATGATGGCAACTGCAGCTTCCTCTCCCTTCAGCCCTACCTTCAAACACACCCAGGATCTGCCCACTTCTCAGCGGGCGGTCCAGGCCACCAGCACTGCTCCCGGACTGTCACAACAGCTTCCTCACTGGTCCCCCTGCCTCTTCTCTCCCCAACGGCAGTCAGAGCAATCCTGACAAAACACAAGCCAGGTCAAATGCCTCCCCTGCTCCCATCACACTTGGAAGACACTGTCCTTACAATGTCCTTCAAGGCCTGACCTCAGCTGACCTCATCTTGACTCCTTTCCTCTTACCCATTCTGTTCCAGCCTCACTGGCTTCCATCCTCTCTTCTCAAAGGAGTCAGGCATGCTCCTGCCTCGGGGCCTTTACACTGGCTGTTCCTTCTGCCTGGAATGCTCTTCTCCAGATCTCTGCATGACCACATTTTCACCTCCTTCAGGTCTTTACTCAGTGTCGCCTTCTAAGGAGGCCCACCCTACTCATCTGACTTAAAACCACACCTCCGTCTGCCCAGCATTCCCAACCTTTTACTCTTTTTTTCTCTCCATGACCATCATCACCTTGTAGCACACTGCATACCGTATTTATCCTGTGTTTGGTTTGTTGTCTATCTCCCGCATCAGTATATAAGCTCTAAGAGGGCAAGGAAAATTTGTCTGTTTTGCTTACTGACGTGCTCCAGGTGCCAACACACGTCTCTGAATAACAGTAAACACTTGCCGAATTTGGGAAGCCATTTCCCCGAGTCTGCTGTGTGCCGGGTCCTGGAACACGGTTTCTGCACTTACATCATCCCCGTTGGACATCCTACATGTCCCAAACCAAACTTGTCATCTTTCTACATCACCACGCAGTGATCGGAGCCAGGGTCCTGGGCATCATCACCTTAGTCTGTCCCCTACAGCCAACACCACCCTGCCGCCTCTGTTCAACTTGTCCCAAGTCCCACTAAACCTAAGTGAATGGCATCCCCTGGAGCCGTGCAATGTGGCAGCCAGCCCTCCACACCCAAACGATCCAAGCCAACCTCAGACGATCCCAATGAGCAAAGAAACGGGCAGGCCATCCCACTGCAGCCAGCATGGGGCCACCGGGCTTCCTCCAGTAAGTAGGCACAGCATCAAGAGATGGATGGAGCAGAAGAACCCATTCTGAGCCACAGAATATCACTTCCTGATGGTCCCAATCAAAGCTATACGGGATGAGACACTAAGAGGGTCTTCTCAGTCTGAATCAAACGACTGGCTAACAGAAAGATAACTCTCTCTAAGAGAGAATGCCCAGGATTGACAAGCACGTGCAGCAACAGGCACTCTCAGGAGCATAAATTGGTGTAACTTTTTCAGAGTACTAGCTAGAAGCAGTTACCAAACTTAAATCACGTCGCTGTGTGACCATTCTCTGGCTGAACCCATAAGGACATCTGTCTTATAGCAACACCCTGAAACTCAAGGATCTATGTCCCTCTGCCCTGATGCCACTCAGTTCTTCCCCCAGTCTCTTCCTGGGGGAGAAACAAATGCCAAATGTGGGCAGAACAGTCATCTTGTTCTCCCCACAAGCAGGACACCACAGTGCAAGGGCCATGCCCTCGTGACACAGACCTCGGCTGTGACACATGGTTCACACTTGACAT